ACTATAAGCAGCTGTATGAAGAGGGGTATAGCCATATTTGTCAGTGTCATATAAGTCAGCACCTCTGTCTATAAGGTATCCTACAATATCTAACCGATTATTCATAGCAGCTAAGTGCAAAGAAGTCTTGCCATCACTGGTCTTCACATTAAAATCAGCTTCCTCCTCATGAATAAAGTACTTAACTGCATCTAATTGACCATTAGCAATAGCTAAATGTAAAGGAGTATAGCCATCACTACCAAGAGTTCTAAAATAAGCACCCATTTCTATTAGGTATTTCGTTATGTCCAAAGAAGTAGAAAAATATATAGGAGTGTCACCACGTTTATTGGAAGTATTAGGATGTATTCCTTTTTCTACGAAATATTGTACTATATCCAGATGACCATTCCAAACAGCAAAGTGTAAAAGAGAATTACCGTAATTGTTGATAGCTCTGAAATTAGCACCTTTTTGAACAAGATATTTCACCATATTCAAGTAGCCCCTTGCGGTAGCTAGAAATAGAGGAGTATTTCCGTAATTGTCAGTAGCAGCTATATTTGCACCCTTTCTTATCAGGTACCTTATTACATCTAACTTGCTATTTAAAGATGCTAAATGTAGAACCCTATTACCATTATTATCACTTTGATTAAGTGAGGAACCTTTTCCATTTATAAAATACCTGATTATACCTAAATTGCCACTTAACACAGCAAAGAGAAAGGGTGTATAACCATTATTGCCTTCTATATTTAGGTTTATTTGCTGCCAATCTATAAAATATCTAACTATATCTACATGACCTTGTAAAGCAGCCATATGCACGGGAAGATTGCCATATTTATCTCGTTTATGCAAGTTAAAGTGTCTTTCATCTACAAGATACTTGACTATATTTAAATGACCACCATAAGCAGCCCAGTGTAGTGCAGCTCCTTGACCAGCACCTTTATCTACAAGAAACTCAACTATCTCAAAATAGCCACGACTCGCTGCAAAATCTATAGGGTTCACACCGTTCTTATTTTTGCTGTTAATATCAACTCCTTTGTTATTAACAAGAAATTGTACGATACATAATACGCCATTGTAAGCAGCAAGGCCTAAAGGAGTGTATCCATCTTTTTGCTCTGCATATAGGTTAGCACCTCTTTCAACGAGACGTTTCACTACATCTAAATCACCACTTTCAATAGCAAAGTGAAGCGGTGTGTAACCATATTCATCTACATCCTCAATTAATGCACCTTTATCTAGTAGCTCTGAGATAATATTACCCTGCCCACTTGATGCTGCAAGATGCAGCGGAGTTAAGTCATCTTTTCCTTTTATGTTTACTTCAGTGCTATTGGTTGATAATAACTCCAGAGCAACATTTTCTCTTTTAAATTCAATGGCTAAATGCAGCGGGGCCCAACCTTCTGATGATTGTGCATTAACATTAATTTTATCATGTTCTATTATCCGTTCGGCTACTTTTAAGTTACCAACTAAAGATGCAAAGTGCAAAGCTGTTAAACCACTTTTAGTTTTAATATTAACATCAACTTTCTTACTTGCTAACGTTAATAAAATTTCAATTACGTCACTATATTCACTGATTGCTGCTAAATGCAGAGGTGTCAACCCTACTTCAGATTGCGCATTAATGTCAATTCTACTATCTCGCAATAAGAAAATAATGACATTACTTTTTCTAAAAGAAGCAGCAATATGCAAAGGAGTGTAACCTCTTTTGTCTTGTGCATTAACGTCAATACCTTCAACTTGCATTAAATTGCTCACAGTGTTTGTATGACCCTTTTCAGCAGCAAGATGCAAAGCTGTCTCTCCTAAATCGGTTTTTGCGTTAACATCTGCACCACCATCCACTAAGTACTTAATAAAACTTCCATGTCCAATTTTAGCAGCTATATGAATGGGAGCATAACCGTTTATATCTCTGGAATTAACGTCAGCACCCTTACTCCTTAAGAAGGATAATATATAAGAATTACCACTTTCTGCAATAGCATGAATTGCCTGCCTACCATTTTCATATCTAGCATTAATATCAGCCCAATTTGTAAGCAAAACCCCTATTTTATATGCAGCTATATCTTCATTTGGCTCTAAAACAGCATTGTAAAAATCTCTATTAATATCTCTAAACTCTTTCTGATTGCTATCTGTAACAATACCAACCAGTTCTGGTGTATCGTTATCAAATTTTCTAAAGATAAAACGAGTTCTTCCTTGTGGAGCAGTTCCTATATAAAGTAATGGATTTGTCTTTTTACGTATTGTATATGGTATGGACCACTCACCAACTGGGAAATCAGTATCATTACTACGAAATTGTACTGCATAACTGACCTTTCCTTTATCTTCCCAAATTCCAAAAGATGTGCTTACCAGTGAACCAGAAAAATTGTATTTTATTTTCTCTGTTGGTTTTGCGTGAGATAAGTTATTTATCGTAGCAAGTTTAGATTTTACTGAGTTTAAACTACTTATTCCTTCTAATGCAAATTTCACTACATCTTCTTTTTCGTCTTGAATGAAATCACACGACTTCACTTCATTCAATACGTTAATTACTCCCTCAATTAAACCACTATCACCAGCCAATGAGTTCTTGAAGTCATTCAAAATTGTTGAAATCAAAGAAAAGTAATGATTATATTTCTCTAAATCATTCTGTTGATAATGAGCATCAGCAAGGTAACTATATTCTTCAAGTAAAAAGGACATTACAGAAAGGTAAGTTTTAGTGCCGAAATACAATAGACCAAGTGCAGTAAATGCTATTTTATCATTGGAATTTTTCGGAATAGCAAATTTTTGATCAATAATATTATACAAAGATGTATGCAAGCTTCCTGGTTGTGGCGTTCTAGAATTTTGCAAGCGATGCAAAGTGCTATTTATTTCTTCAAGCTTAGTAATATATTGGTCATGAGTTAAATTTTTTATAGCATCTTTTTCCTGTACAAAATGCTTAATGAAAGTAACTAATTCCGCAGTCACTTCCTCTATTCTTGTGTGCTTTACAAAATTAATAACTTCTTTGAATTCCTTTTCTATCACATTCGTATGGCTACGTTCTAATATCTTAAACCTTACCGCAAGATTTTTATCTACTTTATTTTTTATCTCCCTAATGGCATTATGATTTCTATCTACTGTAGTTTCTTCCATCGCGATAGTTCTACCTAATTTACTATTATTAATCATCATCAGCATGGCTGTAAGAAAGCCAGTATTAGTAAATAGTAGCGCATGATTAGCCAATTGATTGCCTAACCAATTACTTAAAAAAATGTCATGATTTTTATCGATAGCCCAATAACTTTCAGTTAAATTCCTAAAGAGATCATTATGTATAACATACCTTTCTATTGCTTCTAAAGATAGTGTTGCTTTGTCTTTACTTATTAATCCAAGAAATCTCTTCAGTGGTTCAATCAGNAATCAAT